CGCCCACTCAGCCAGGCCCCTCACTCCTGACTTCTGCTCCTGAAGCCCACCCCATGCTCCACATGCTCCTGAGGCCCACCGGGCATGGCCCTGCACACCTTCTCCAGGCCTCTGGCTGTCACTCCATGCCCTCTGCTGGCCCCTCTCCATCTGGGGCTCTCGTCCCAGGCCTCCCAGCCAGCTTCCTTGCCTTACTCATGCTGATGGAGGTCTCCACCCCGGGCCGCAGGTTGAAGCCGCCATCATCCATGAAGGCAGGCTCGTTCTGCCCGTGCACCATCACCCTGGCCCCAGTCACTGTGGACACCAGCGGGATGAAGTCATTCTGCTCTGTGCGCAGCGTCAGGGACAGACCTGGGAGATGGAGAGGGCACCGAGTGGGGGCGGTTTGGAAGAAGCATCAGAGGGGTGGAAACCCACCCTCCCACCTGCCGAGTCTCTAAGGCCCCAAGAGGAGCAAGTTCTGGGAGACCTGCAAACAGATTTGGCTACCCCTGAGCTGGACTGGGGTTGGGGCGAGGCAGGAAGGATGGGGACAGGATTTCTATCACGTCTAGAATGGACCACGTGGTGCCGATGGGGGAGAAATGACAGAGACGATTTTTCCAGGATAGAAGTGGGCATGCTGGGCTGAGACCCGGAGGTGCCAGAGCATCTCTAGGACACGAGCTCAAGGTGGGAAAATGTGGGTGTGCAGGGCAAGGGAGGGGTGGGGCAGAGGTTGGGGACGGCTCACCATGGTTGACCCCAGGCATGGAGGACATCCAGAGGTTGGAGCTGTTTTTGTCATTGAAAGTGTAGCAGTTTCCATATATCGGGTGGTGGAAGTGAGAGTAATTCCTATTCAGGAATAAGAGAGTAGGATCAGAGAGGAAAGGGCAGGGGCTCGGCGAGAGCAAGACTTTCAGAGCCCTTGGTTTCCTGATCATCTACTATGTGCCGACGCCATGCTGAGAGCCTTGCTCAGGCCCCGTCAGCCACTCTGCTGGGCATCACCTCCACTTTGCATGAGCTCAGAGAGATCAAGTAGTTGCCCAAAGTCACACAAGTGGTGAGGATGAGCTAGGACTTGAACTCAGGTCAGCTGCCTTCAAGGCCAGGCTCCTCCCCACAGCCACCTGACCTCACTGGCCTTGTGACCTCCCCAGTCCGTCGCTGTGTTGCATTACAAACTCGTGCGGCGTCCTTAGCGTCTCATGTGTCTAAATCTTATTTCCCCATTTGTAGCATAATCTCCTTGAGGACAGGAGACTCATCTCACTCATCTCTAAATCGTCTCTGGGTTAATGGCATGGTTCTCGGCACACAAGAGATACAGGAGACAGTTAACAGAGCTGTGAAATAAATGAATGAAGTAGAGAATGGAAGGGAGTGGGGTGAAAGGAGGGAGAGAGGCCAACGAGCATGGAGCAGCAGGAGGAAGGTCAGACTCAGATCCAAGGGCAGGACAGGGCTTCTTGCATGCCTCCCACTGGTAGGTCCACAGCTGTGCTGGGATAGGTTTGGGAACAGAGAGGAAGGAATCAGAGCAGCGTTGCTGCAATAGGAACACGACTTGACAGCAAGTCCCAGGGCCCCCGACAGGGGCTGTGTGGGGCTGTAGCCAGGCCCACATGGGAACAGAAGGGTCTGTGTTCTAACTAGCCTGGCATCTTGGAGCTGGTGAGGGGAGCAGGGAGAAGAGGGAGACAGGGCTTTGGTCTGCGAGAGGCTGAGGAGGAAGGAAGCGAAGCAGGAAAGGGAAGAAAGCTGGACTGAGATAGGGGGGTGGGGGCCAGGGTGAGGGCCAGGGTGGGGGTACTGGCTGCACGGCCTGGAGCAAGCCAGTTTTTTCATGCTTACGCCCCTCATCTGTAAATCAGGGAGATGGGAACAAGTGATATGATCTGGAATATTCCATTGGCCGTGAAGAACAAAGGCACGGAGGTGTGAAATCCGGCTGCACTGTCTGGGAAGTGCTGGGAGGTCAGCAGTTCCAAAGCACAGGCTGCATTCAGGGAGGGACGGAAGAAGCGGCCACGGAAGTGCACAGAGGCCAGTCCTGCAAGGCCTGTGAGCCCGTGAGCCCTGCTCAGAGGGAGAGGGGACAGGGACAGCGTGACAGCTGTATGCAGCAGGTGGAATCAACAGAGTGGATGAAGCAACACGGATGAATCTTAAAACCACAGAGCTTAGTTAAGGAAATAAAAGGCCGCATGAGATATATAACCTGACACCATTTCTGTAAACGTCACATGCACATTTTGTCACATATGAAAAGACACACATTAAGCACATTTTGAGAACACACGAGAAGCAGTAGAACCTGATGGCGAAGAGCACAGACTCCAGAACAAAACTACTTGTACTTGAATCCTGATTCTAACAAGTATTAGCGGGGGGGCCAACCCAGGTACTTGATCTCTTGGTGGTGCAGTTTCCTCACCTGTAAAATGGGGCTAATAGTACTTAACTCACAGGGATGCTGTGAGGATTAAACTCCACTTAGAACAGTGCTTAGCACCTAGTAAGAGCTATATAAATTTGCTATTAAAAGTATAAGGATTCAGTAAGATGGTTAAAGTGAAAAAGACAGATAATAACAAGGGAGGATGTGGAGAATTTGCAGCCCTCAAATACTCTGGTGTGAATGTGAAATGGTGCAGCCACTCGGAAAATAGACTGGTGGCTCCTCAAAATGTTAAATACAGACTCACTGTGTGATCCGGCAAGTCCGCTCCTAGTGTCTATCCAAAAGAGTTGAAAACGTACACCCATACAAAACTGTGTACAGGAATGCTCATGGCAGCATTATTCATAATAACCAGAAAGTGAAAGTAACCCAAATGTCCATCAACTGAAGTACAGATAAAGAAAATGTTGTTTATCCATTCCAATGGGATACGATTCAGTCATAAAAAGGCAACAATTACAGATACACGCAGCAACGTGGATGAACTTTGAAAACACGATGCTAAGTGAAAGAAGCCAGTCATTAAAGACTGCATAGTGTGTGATTACATTTATAGGAAATGTCCCCAATTGGCAATCCACAGAGACAGAAAGTGGTGGTTTCCAAGGCTTGGAGGAGGAGAGGGAATAGGGAGTGACTGCTAATGGATATAGAGGGGTTCTTTTTGGAGTGAGGAAGATATGTTAAAATTAGACAGTGGTAATAGTTGCACAATTCTGTGAATACATTAAAAACCACTGAATTGTATACACTAAAAGGATGAATGCTGCTATTAAAGAAAAGCTCACAGAGAGAGGGCAAAGGGTGTTGGCTATGTGGGAAGAGGGGCTGAGAAAGCTAGGATAAAGAGCTTCAACTTGATCCCAAAGGCCATGAGAGACATTGGAGGACTTTAAACAGGACTAACTGGAATAGTTAGGTGGAGTCAAAATACTGCCATATAAACCCTCCTGTGGTTGCAGAATAAAGGGAGGTCTGAGCACCAGAGAGATGAACTGGGGCAGGGGTTACAATAACCCCAGTGAGAAATAATGAGGCTCTCAACTCAGGAAGTGACCTAAGCGTCAAGACTGAGATGAACCATGGACTTTCCATTGATGGGGAGGTAGAAGCCTGGGGCAGGCAAAGCGAGAGGGTGATAGAGTGACTTGGTGGCAGGGGCGGGTTGACCCAGGCTCAGGTGCTGCTGTTGCCTCACTTCCCAAGTGGCAGCTTCTATCCTCAGACACAAAAGCTAGACTCAGGAACAAAACACTGTGCGCTGGGCAGAGTGTGTGCTTCAGGTGACAGAAGCAGGTGACACCTGGCCCCGCTGATGTTCTTCGGTAACATGGAAGAGACGGGTTCCCTGTAGAGTGGAGGTGCTGCCTGGACACCCTTCCTTGGCCAGGCGGAGGCAGGGAGATGGTGCCGGAACATCGGGGAGCAGAAGTAGGGCGGGGAGGGCAGGGGTAGGAAGGGCCAGAGGCTACAGAAGGGGTCCCTCCTTACTCACAGCCTCTCATTACGTGAGTAAGGAGACCCAACATTCACCGCAGTTTACAAAGTGTCCTCACACTTCGAGATCATCTTCATCGCCTAAGTAAAAGTGCCAAAGGGCAAGGATTTTTCTTCTTTGATGTACCCCAAATGCCCAAATAGTGAATGGCAATAGCCCAGACAGTCAAAAATATTTGATCAGTGAACACTGAATGGGTCTCATTTCTCCCCTTACACACAAAGAAATATGCTCTGGGGGTGGGGGGAGGGTATAGCTCAGTGGTAGAGCACATGCTTAGCATACACCAGGTTCTGGGTTTAGTACTCAGTACTTCCATTAATTAATTAATTAACTTAATTACACTCCCCCACCAAAAGAAAAGACATAGGCTCTGAAGGGTGATGTGAAATGCCCAGGGTCACCTGGCCCCAGAAATAACAGAACCAGAGCAGGAACTCAGGGCTAGGCCCCCGTTCAATCCCCGCAGTGTCCACTACACCACCACCGCTAGCCTCATCTGAGAAAGTGGAGTACAGGACTCGATGACCTGCTAGGCACTCCTGAGTTTGATGCTAGTAAGAAAGAGGTCTTAGGAAAAAGGAGAACCATACTTCCAGCCCTTGGTTCTCAAAACCAGATCTCAACCCCAGCCATTCCAGGGAATCTGTAAGAGGCTGCCTCACTCAGATGCAGCCCTGCAGAGAGCAGAAGTCCTGCACGATGCTTCCTGGGGTAGAGATTTGGACCTGGAGTCACCTGCTTCCCCCTCCTCCCCACCCGCATTTATTTAGTCAACAAGCATTTCGGGGAGGCGCCCATGCTGGGCTGGAGAAGGAGCCCGGGGTGGGGGGGTGGGGGGCCGGTAGCACAAAGCCAGGCGGAGGGAAGGATGGACTCACGCCTCGTTGCAGGAGACCTGGTTGAAGCGGCAGGCGAAGATGAATTTGCCCAGCGCGTCCTCCTCCAGCGAGGGAGAGGTGTCCTGCCTTCTGGCCAGAATGTTGATGTAGTGGAAGCGATACCACTCCCTCACTGCATCCACCCCTGACGAGTACGTCTGGTAGAAGCAGTCCGATTTGTTCCGGTTGCACTGGACACAGAGACCAGACTGTCAGAGGGCCAGCAGCGAGTGTAAGCAGGGCTGGGCCAAGATCAAGGAATGAGTGATCTGGGGTCCTCAGGACCGATGAGGAGGGGGTGGGAGCCAGGAGCTGGGAGGAACAGAAGGCAGAGAGATGAAGAAGCCCCGAGGAGAGCGGACCCCGGAGAGCACCGGGTTAAGGGAGCAGCAGGTAGGCCAAGGTGGAGACCGGGCGCTGCACACACCTAGGGGTCATTAATGCAGCCTCCGAGGAGGGTGGAGCAAGGATTCTTCTCCCTATTTCACTGATGGGAAGACTGAGGAACCAAGCGATTCATCCCAGCAGCAGAGCAGGTACTGGAACCCAGGGCTCCGGGAAGCGTGGTCCGCTCTCACTAAAGGGGTTTGTCTTTCTTCCTCCCTCTACTTCTCTCCCATTTTCTTTTACTCTTCCTTTTATTTTTCATTTTTTATTTTAAAATTAAATTTCCTTGTTACTGTCTTCCTATTCCCTGTCATAGGCTGGTAGAGCCCCTGTGCCCCATCACATTGGAGGGTCTCAACTGAGTCCCACCAGAGGGATGGACTCCAGAAAGATGCATTTCCCACAACAGATCTGACTTCCCGCCCCCGGAAACGCTCCCACAGGAGGAGTCTCTACCAGCTGGCTCCCACAGAGATGTTATTTAATTTTATTTTTCAAACCTGATATATGTGTTTAACTTATTTATTTTGCCAGCAAGTGGCTGGGGTCCAGCCTCGTATCCCTGGCAGCGGAGGCGGGGTGCGGAAAGGGAGCGGAGTCCGAGCGCGGGCGGAACCCGCGGGGCGGGGCGAGTGGGCGCGGCTTCCAGGTGGTGGGCGGGGCCGGGGCGGGGCCTTACCAGCTGGAAGCCGATCTTCCAGTCCTTCCTGTTCACCTTGGGGTTGTTGTCCCGCACACTGGAGGTGGCGCTGCGGGCGCTGCGGGCCGCATGGGG